AGAGGATAAGGACGCATAGCATACCGCCCGGTAGCGCCGGAGCAGACATCTCGGGCCTCGAGCATGACGACCCGCAAGGGTGCGCTGGCATTCTTGAGCAGCGTTCGCGCGATGGCTGTCCCGGAGATTCCACTCCCGATAATCACGACATCCGCGTACGCCGGCAGCGGAAGCTCCTCTTTGCTGGTAGCGCTGTCCAGAGGCGAGGGGGGCACACACCAGTAAGAACGCAAGGGATTTGGAAGAGGGAGCCCAGGATCACGCGAAATGCGTGTTGAGAGAGCGGAGAACGAGTCAGAGATGGCTTTTAGGGTCTGGTAGATTAGTCTGACTCGGGATAGCAGGGATCCCATGGGTGACGAAGCGGGCAAAAAAGAAGCGGAGGTCAAAGTGGGGTCGCGGTCACGTGTCACGGTGTGGTACGATCCCAATTGGCAACCATCGCTGCACTCCGACACGGAGCCCGAGAGCAGGGAACATTTAGGCATTTCCCCCGGAAATATGTCACGAAATTTACGCGTCTAATACCTTGCTTGTACCTTGCCAGCTTCGAATGCACAATCGGACGAATCGGCAAGGGAGGAGCGAAGACTACAACACGCGAGGTACCGAGCGAAAATTGTTGTAGTGTCTGTTTATAAGGGACTGAGCGAAGATGAAGGAAAGGCAATTATTTCGCCCATCACAATACATATGAATCCATCTATGCTACAGGCGAGACCACCTAACTCGTACCTTGCGTTGTAGCCCGGGCCTCATGCATGGTGCCAAAAGTGGCGTCGGCGGTGAATCCAGGCCAGCAAGAAAATCATTGTATGCCACAAGAACAACAATGGCGACAGTCTGTAAACACAGAGTGAATGACCAACGCTCCCCCTATATTCTTACGGGGTGGCGCGGAAGTTGTCGTGCTATTTAAGGCGCGTCGCTACGGATCCGGAGTTGCTTGCACATTTATGGGGCTGGCGTAAATTCGGATCTGCTGCGCACATGAGTAGACTTTGAATCATCGGAGAATGCTGACGAACTGTCCTGGATGAACGGGACTCAAGATAGTCAATCGAAATAGCACATTCACAGAACGAGCGCCGTTTGGTTGATCGACTGAGTTCGCGAGGATCAGAAAGCTCCGAGGACAAGTAGCTGAATGGTAACATACATAAGGCATGGTTCACTTGCTTGAATAAATACATTATAAATATGGGTCGGGCCAGCGACCGCGGAACAGTAGAATACCATGAGGCTAACCGTTGAAGAGAGGCTGCAGCACTTCCGCTATCCGCTGACTGGCTGCCGACCCCGGCTGACCAACGACAGAAGCCAGGGCATCTTCTCGTATGATGCCAAACAGCTTCAGTGTTGCCTTGGAGTAGGAAGGTTGGCGCTTGATCGACGGGAAGAAGTGGCCCCTGCGATACAAGTCTCGTAGATTGCTGTGGAGTCGAGGTCTTCAGTGAGGAGCGGGATGACGATAGTGATGACCCCGTCCAGCAAGGCGTATCTGGTTGGATCATCGGAATGGGCGAGATCGAGAAGGAATTTGGAAAGAAGAGTGGTAAGACGCTGTTGGCCGCCGAGTAGAGAGCAGAGGTCTCTCATTTCTTTTGAACGTGATTCCTGCCTTAAGGAGCAGCATGAGCATTGCGTCCCGGTAAGTGGCGACGAGAAAGAGGCGACGTACGTATTGGGAATGAGGAGATAAATTATTCGACTGAACATCGACACCTTGGATCGATGTGACTGGCCGATTAAATGCTCAGCCATCAAGCCGTGCACATCACCTCCAAGTGCGACACATCGCAGAAAATGCCACAATGCGCGGGAAGACTCCAAGCCCGAGTTAAGAACCTCTTGCCTACCATGCGGTCAGACACATTGATTAATGGAATTCAAGGCAAAGCTCACAGCTGAAATGGAGGTGATGCCTGCGATAATGTAAAGTCCTTTAGTCGGGGGTATGTCACATCGGCCACTGAGCGGCCAGAGTACATCGGGTATTTTCCGGGCGTTGCCAGTTCAAGCATGCGCGGGGCTTCACGCTCGAGGAAATGCGCCTCAAGTAAGAGCCAGGTAGCGGGCGATGTCTTGCTGATATGCCGCATCACGTCCTCGAGGGATGGGTGGTGGGCGAAGGGCCAATATTGATCCAAGTTGCTCAGCCAGAATTCGTATGACTTAAGTGGAGGTGCGGATATAGCAGCGAATGCGGAGTGGAAGGACCTCGCGGTCTCCGCGTCGAAATCCCGTCGTCGGCCGGAAAAATGCTGGGATGCCGATAATAATATCATGTCGAGGAATTTGGATAGAATGACTGCTTCGTACGTCGTTTCGTTCTGTTGGGCCAACTCGGAGATGAATGAGATACCGGGACCCAGCGGGTTCCGGCCCTCGGGGAGCGCCGATACGTAGGCGCCCATTAATGCTCGTTCTGGAAAGCTAGGGCAAGATCAGAAAAGTAGGAAGAGAACAGACACCGGTAAACGCACCCGTATCCGCAGAACATGCACACCAACATGATCTCCGTTACCAAAAGTATCACATCGTCCAGCAGCCATTTGGAAACGCTGTTGATAAGATATGCTGTGTGGCCGGATGCGATCTGTGGCAAAATTAATTCCATGGCAGCCTGCCTGATGCCGTCGGGATAGACTTCCGGTCTGTGTTGAGTTAATTAAGCAGCAACCACTAGCGCTCTTTAACGCACCGAGACAACTCCAACAAATCATCAAAGATTTCGTCCATGAAACGCGCATGCGACCCAGTCCTTTCATCCCGGCAGGGCAGGTGCGCCCTTATGGTGGCCATCCTCCTGAATATCACCACCCGCTCCGCGCCTCGTATAGTTGCTTTCCCCAGCGCCAGGATAGCCTTTCCCGCCAAAGATCCCGGACCCCACTGTGTTCTTGATGATGTCGTGGTGTATAGGGAGGATAGTGAAGACGCAAGAGACGATAGGGATGGGGAAGCGCGCAAGATGCGGTGATCGCCTCGGCGAGTGGGGACGGGATACATGGGGCGGACGAAGGGAGCCCCAACAGCCGTCCTGACGCCGATGGTGCCTTTAATACTTATCGCTGGCCCGCAGCTCCATCAGGTCACAACACTCCCGTCATCACGGGATGGAGAGAGATGGAGGGAGACGGAGGCAGCGAATGAGTAGGCGCCAATGTTACGGTTTCATGATTGCCCCAGACACGAGGTTTGAATCATGATGGTGCCAGATCGTGCCAGGCCCCCGGTCACTACCTACTAGGTCGGTCGCCGATAGAGTAAATCCACGGTCCAAAATGACCCCTAGCTCGGTCGGCGAATAGAGTAAATTAGCACCGAAAGTCGGGGGGTCGGTCGGATATAGAGTAAATCGCGCGGAGTGCGAGATTTTTTTTTGAGCATATGGGGCTGAGTCTGGCGGAATTCCCCCGAGAATTGTGTCAGTCAGCGCTATTATGGAGCCAGGAGAGTGCACAGCAGGCCTTAGAGCGCCCGCGGCGGCGCTAGGGCGAAAAATCAGGCCTAGGAGAAAAAAAATTGGCATTTTCACCAAAGGTCGGTCGGATACAGAGTAAATCAAGCGGTTGAGGTGAAATTTCATAGAGTAAATCAGGGTAAATCTTGGAACAAAATGCGACCGACCTAATAGGTAGTGACCGGGGGCCTATTGTGCCCTCACTGCTCAGGACGTCGGCAAAGTACCGTCAGCGTGCCGTAATACTTGAGGTCTAAAATTCAAGACAAGCACCGAGGTTGAACGCAAGTGTAGTTGCCGAGGTGCCATTCCGTAGAGGTTCCGGGTGCCATGCGCCCACAGTAAGCACATTACGACGGCCTGAACAAAAAGACTAGCCGCCGCCTGCTAGAGAGACGGGGCGAGGAGCATCCCGAATTAAGCCGTTTATGGCAATTCTCCGAGCGCTCCCCGGTAACTTCGGCCTTCTGCCCAGTGGATCTAGGCATAAAAGCTGCGGAGGAGTCGAGGGTCCGGGTTTCAGCAGGAAGTTTTAAGGTTGAGCTCGGCAAATTGCCCTCGAATATGGGGGGCCGATCTGATCATGGAGAAGTGGCGCAAGTCCTTGAGCGATCAATTGAGATGAGAAGTAACTTGCCTCAGCTTGCCAAGTATGTTGTCTCTCTAGACTCTAGACAGACGCTATAACATAAACACGCTCGTTCCTCGCTCGTAAGTCCCACTGAGTACGGCCGCTCTTCTGATTCAGACAGCAATCGGTGCGGAAGGCAGTTCATCTCAGAGATGCGTTCGGCGAAGCCTCAGCGGGGGAGGGAATGGCTGGCTGTATGTATTAGCAGTCCTTCTTTCACAAATCGTAGACCAGAAGGACATCACGGGAGGAGCGCCACCATGACCGCCATCAGTAGCGGTGTGGCGGTGTCCTGATCCTGTTCGACTCCCGCTGCGGCCGCCTTTTTTGTTTTAGTTTTTTTGTTGGGTAGAGAGCTTGTGGCAGGAGAAATAAAAACACAAGGCGAAGAGAAGAAGAACGGCAAAGTTCCTGGCTGGTCCCAGCGCCATCAGTGATGAGGTGAACCCTACCCACTTTTCTTTCCGTTCTCTATAAAACCAAGGTTTGCAGTGCGTTTATGGGTAATAAAATCCCTGTTCAAGATTTGGGTTGGGGAAAAAACTCGCCATTTTCACTAGCCTCCAGCCCCTTTCGACTTAGTGCAATCGGGCTGTCGGCCGACCCCGATGCGACAAGCACCGATGATGCCATCAATTCTGAAAAAATTGCGATCATTCTCATCAAAATCGAGAAAAATCCGAATACTCATCTTCTCCTGGGCTCAACAGCTCCCATAATATTGTGGAAACTGGGGCCTGGATCCGGAGTTACTATAAGCATGTCCTACACTTGTACAAAGACGATCCAGCTCGAATTGAGGGTAGCAGCCTACTCTTGGCCCTAGAGTTAGGCGGTCTGCCGAGGGCATCAAAGGGCACGAGGCATTGAGACAAAAACGACAGAGAAATCCTGCTTAAAAAACGACCATGGTGGGACTCGAACCCACAGTCTCTGCCTCGAGATTTAAGAACAATCGGAAAGCAACGCAGTAACCATTTTGCCACACGGCCATGTCGACAATCTTTGGAATGCATATATAGTCCGGAACCTGCAAAGTGTGGACTTACGCACTTCATGTTGCCCACTGTCGACAATGGACGAAGCTGCCGTACGCCGTTGATATCTGACCACGAAATCTGAAGGACTCGAGACGGACTTCGATTAAGAAGATCTGGCGGACGAGGGCGGCTTTATTTCGAAAGCGACTCTACGAGGGGCGGAGGATGTGGTCATACTCCGGAGAATGGTCACCATACGGGCGCACCTGCCTTGCCTGGATGAAGAACGGAGTGGGGCCAACGCATGTTTCATGGATGGAATATTTGAGGATCTAGCGGAATTGTCACGGTCAGTTGCCAAAATTCGATATTGTTAGTCTCCTGAACGACTCTGAGTAATAGACCTGAACTGTATTCGGAGAATATTAGGTATCCGGCGATGGAATTGATTTTGAAGCAGATCGCACTGATGCGCACTGCATACTTCATCCACTGTCTTTCCAAATGGTCGCTCGATGACTTGATAGCCCTCATCTCGGAGGTCATGTCCATTTGTGTCCTTTGTGATCGCGGGTCCGTGGTTGTGGTAATTCGGGCGTTTTCCGCTGACGACATCTCCGTACTTCAGCTTTCGGGAACATCGGTTAGCAGCCGCATATGCATCTACGCTCCCACCAGGCCACCACCCACTCGATCCCTGCTTATCCTTCATTTCGGAATTAGTTCGCCAGAACAGAACCACTTTTGAAGCCGCTGTTTTATCCAAGTTTCCTGGACTGGTCCTACTATCATCATGTGGCAGGCATCGACATACTGTTGCAGAACCGGATGAAGAGGAACGGCTGGATTTCACTTGTGCCTCAGCCTTCACCATCCTTTCGACACCCGATCCACAACTACATGAGATCTGGAGGACCTCCCTGGATCAGTATTGGCCATTTTATCGTCCGCCCTCGCTAAGGGACGTTGTGGGACATATCAGCACGGTTTCTCCAGATAACTGGCTGGTATTGGAGGCCCACTTCCTCCAACAAGAGGTAGATCACTTCCTGGAACTTGCGATGCCCGGGAAATTTCCCTTATTCTCTGGGGGCTCGGCATATACAACGTCTTTGGGGAATCGTGCAATCAAATTGTGAATTCCTAACGTTTCTGCCCACTTCATTTGACTAATCGTTTATAGTTCGGAGATACTCGATGCAGGAAACATCTCCTCCTGGCACGCACTGGGTTATTTAATACGATGTGTCGTTCTCGGTGGAGACATCTCTGGTATATTGTTAGAGCACATACATCGCAGGTCCCATCGGTCCAGGGTGTCCCTATTTTCCCGAATTATCTTCTTCCTTCTCCCCAATACGTCGGTCATTCAATCGAATCCGTCAACTATGCCTGATTCTTTTCCCGCAGGGCGTCTTCCTGTTCTAAAGAAATAAAAGACCTTTGTGCTCTGCTTGGGAATCGACAACGACTCACCGACGCACTCACCAATTTCCTCCGGAGCCTCGCCGCATCCGATGACAGATGCAAATACGCGGTGTTGGACGCGGCCATACTCGTCGTTGTCCCACTTCTCACCCCAGAGATGGAGTCTTGGGCTATTTATGAAGACATGTTTCGCCGGAGCCACTTCTTTCCATCCATCAAACGCCGGCTGTCGTACTGCAGAACAACGCTGGCACTCCTCAGCCGCATTCGAGAACACAGTCTGACTTCTGTCATTGCTCAACCAGGCTCGATAGCGACCCGGGAGATATCAGACGTCCTCGGGCCCATATTTAATGTATAGCTTGTTTAAAATTTATGTAACTAATGTACTGGTAAACGACGTCGACCACCGCTTCAGCAGGCGAGGAATCGGCATCAGTTTCCTCTACAGCTCTGACTCACCGTGACTCGTAGGTTTCCTACAGCTTTGCATGCTTGACAACGTCCCGACTCGTGGCGATCGACGAATTTTCGGCAGTAGTTTTATTTCAGCAGTGCAATCTATAGGTAACTATTTTTGATCTCAATGGTTTACTCCTCGAAGAATAAAAAGAAGCAGAGGTGGAGGTATCTCAGCCCGAGGCGAATCAAATCGTATCAATTGTTGCCCTGCCGGTCATACAATCGCTATAGTGACTTGAAGTTCTTAATTTATATTTCTACCGCCACGATCCGTACCTGCCTTGTTCAGGCTGCGCAATGCTCTAGAATAAAAGCGGGGATCCAATGTCTGCAAGATCCCATTCTTTTCTTCTCAGACCTGGTGTCGAGCTACATTCTCTTCAGCATTCACTTCAACTCCTATTTCATCCTCCCTGGAACTTTCAATGGTTCGCATCTCCTCGCTTCTTCTCTCTCTCTGCATCGCCGCTTGTACATCCTCAGGCAAGTCATTCCCTCCCTCGAAGCCGGAACATTAAATTAAAACGCGGCATGTACAGCACCGCTCTTCAGACGTCAGACCGGAGACCTCCAATGCAATCTAGCACGTCTCAGGATCATTTCGGACGTGGCCGGCGCACAAACCTTGATCGGCCAACTCAACACGACGTGCGCCCCGCCTAAATCCCAATATGCACTGTGATCACTGACCACCGTATTCAGCGATCTCACCACGGCGTCCCTCGCGGCCGTAGCGCAAGCAAGCTTGAAAAGCGCCAATGATGGAATTCAGGACGTCCTCACCGCTGTGTTGAACGGGCAGATCGCCCCAGCTAATGCCCGCGACCAAGTTGGGGTAGGAATAACCGAAGCCATCCTAGCAGTCGGCAACATCACAGAGTAAGGATCTCGCCACAAAGGTCGTGGTCGTTTACTCACGCGAGCTCCTTCAGCTCCAGCTCCACTGCTACAGTCTCCATGGTGCAGTCGAAACTTGCGAGTGCTGTCAAGGATGGAAACGACGTCGTTTCGGAGTGTAAATGAGCTCTTTAGTACTACCGGGCTTCTTCCTATTTTCAATATAGAAGTTGAGCTACTCGGGAACATACATGTGCATTCGTGAGCCACGTCGGGAACGAAATTAGCCAAAATTATGTTGAATGCGCACCTGTGTAAAATGCTTTTTGATGTTCCAGGTTCCCCTCCTTCTGAATCTTTGCAGGACAATATTCCACTTTTTAAACGCTAAACGGAACATCCCACGCAGGCTCCAAATGGAGCCTCGTCACAAAAATGCGGAAGGGTCCCACCATGGTCGTGTTTTGCGGCCAACGTTTTGTTGTCAAATCCATCCTGTGCTTCCACAGGATGGATTCGGGCATACCCACAGTCTCTGCCTTGGTATTACGGGAAGGAATCGGAAAGCAACGCAGTAACCATTTTGCCACACGGCCATGGCAATGATCTTTGTAATGCATATATGTTCCGCGGCCTGGAAATTCTGACAAGGCTGCCGTACGCCGTTGATATCTGACCACGAAATCTGAAGGACTCGAGACGAACTTCGATTAAGAAGATCTGGCGGACGAGGGCGGCTTTATTTGGCCGGCAATGCATTATGGATCCAGGCCAGAGTAAAATAGGCATCCGCCGATATTCAGCGTCTTTCAAGTTTCTGGTGGATGCCGGTGGAGGATTGTTGATCTGGCTCCGTACACCAATGCATGGTGGATTCCGGCGGATGCCACAGCCTATGACGGTGTGCGTGTATGGCTAGCTTCTGAACACAATCGGAAACTGAAGTCAAGTTTGTCACTGATTCAATATATTACAATGTCGCAGTCAGCCACAGGCGTATTCGTGTAGCCAGCACAAAGCAAGGAAAATGATGAGGATGGCCTCTGCCAGGACTAAGAATTGCCAGCACCGTGAGAGCGGTTCGGGTTTCTCGTCGACAGTCAAGTATGCTGCTGGGGATGAAAACATGGTTAGACACCGGTTCCGAGGGTATTTATCCATCCCCTCGCCAGAGTTGATAGTGGTGGATTCTTGTGTAATCTCCTCGCCCTCCGTTAGTGGAGCGTGGATGTCATCAGCTGCAGAGGGATGTTCATCAGCTGCACTTTTTAGCATCACTTCATCTCACCGTGCACGCGCTGTTGATTGTGAAGCTCTCCGGATAATTTAAAAAGGGGTTGACCGAGATATCGGGCAATATTGTCACTGTCGGGATCGAAGCCTTTAGCTTGGTGGAATTTCCGCAACCCGGCGTAGACGCCGGAATCCCAGAAGTATCCCGTTACCTGCATTCCCACCGTCATGACCGGAAATCCGAGTTGGCTCGCCTCCTCCGAACTGAGACGGGCGGCTCCGGAGGGGTCGAGGGACCAGTACGCTAGGGAATCCGGGAATTGGAGTGAATTTAATCCAGTTTCAAGGTCCTCGGGACAGACAAATAAGTACCCGTCGGCCGGAGGTTGAGGGACTGAAGCAATCCGAACCGAAAACCCGATTGACTTTACTAGCGCTGTTGCCTGTTAGCACTGGCAAAAATACACCATGAGTATTTGTATAAGACACACCATATTCCTCGTGGTTTGAGGCGATCTGGAGTTGACTGAAAACGTGATTTGCTTGACTGAGCCAGGCTGAGTTATCCTTGCTGTCATCGTCGCTGCTGCATATCCAATGACCAATGGCTGCACCACACACATCGCAGGCGTTTTACCTTCAAAATACTCCGTCTGAATAATTCCATCCCAGACAATAATTTTGACATACCGAGTCCAACCATCAACGTCGGTTCCTGACACCAGTGGACCCGGGTTCCAATCCCTCACATCAACCCTCGGACCAAGCATGAATGCAATCTCGGCCGATCCGTCCAGTTGACCGTTGGAAGTCCAAGGGATTATGGCTCCCGTCCTCACCGGTATATGCGACTGCGATTGCCAAACAGTGTAGAATTGGCCCAGATGTTGGGAACAGATCCCATGGTACTGTTCGAGTGTTAAAGAGGAAACGACCGCGTTCTCCAGATTCGGCCCGTTGAGGACCGTTATGTATGTTATAAGTCGCTTCTCTTGATAGCTCATTTTTTGAAAAATCAAAAAAGTCCAAGTACCCATTCCGGGAGAGATTCG